TCACTGTATAAAGCTGAAGAAGTAGTTCCTTTTGCTTCCACTTTAAGTGGGTCTGTACTCAAAGCACTGACTTCAGAGAGCTTCTGTAAAGGTATGAAAGGTGAACCTAGCACAGATATTACTCAGGTTCTGTGTCCTTTCTGTTCTGCTCTCCATTTCCCTAGTATAGTAATAAAATACTTGTTTAATTTTTTCTAGTTCTGATTGTGGTCAAAAGAATACCACTTTGTGCACAAGACTTTACTTCAGGTACGATACTAGTTGCAGGCATTGGTTTCTACTGTCTAACATTTAAAATTTGATTCTTTGTGAGGCATTCGAGGAAAAAATGTTTATAGCCGATTTTTTCCAAGAAAAGGGTCCTCTTCTTTAATATGTGTATTCAAGACAAAGATTAAGCAGTTTTCATATTTCAGGTGTTTTAAAACTGGAATCCAGACCAAACAGAGGTAGTCTTGACTCCCTGAGATAGTCAATGTAGATCAGTCCTACATCTTAGAAGGCAAAGCAGCTCCATCTATCTCAATAGAGCCTCAGCGCACAATGTAGTCTAAGACTCACGAACATCTCACTCTGTGTCATCCACAAGAACTGAAGTGATGCCTCTAAGAAGGTTATTAATAATGCCTAATTACAAGTTGGATTTACAGGCATCTTTAGTGAGTATTATCCAGTAATTGTGGGGCTACTACATATAGGTATATTAAACTGACTCCTCAGATGTGATGTTTATCCATTTGCTAGCTTGTCATGTTTGTTGCATCTTTACCACTTTTCCAGGAGATATATTGCAGCAAGGGATTTCTTGTTTCACTTTTCCTTTTCTCTGAAGTGATGCCTTTCCTGCTGTTTTTCTTACTGATTGCTTAACCTGGTGGATGAATTTATTGGAGTCATCCAAAGTCTTGGTTCTGGCTGGTTATGTTACTCTGAGGAGCGCTTTTCTAAGCTAGTGGAAGGTTGTGCATAAAAGTTCAAATAGTAGGGGTTTTATACATAAGCAAAAGGGAAACGATCTTGTGAAAACAATAGCTAGAGTTGGGGGTAAGGGTGCGTGTGTGAAACCTGTTTGTAAATCCTCCATAAGTGCACCACAATTTGAACTGCTGTTTAAAAGATAACCTAGAAGTTCATAGGCATTCAGTCATTTAATAGATGCTTTAATAATAGGAAGAGCCTGTTGTGGTTTTTTTGGGGAGGTTTTACAACCAGCCCTCCTTTAGGTTCTGTGCATCTCTTACAATGTAAAGAAACTGGAAGCAGTTTTAGGTGTCTCTCTTTTAATAGTCATTTGTGGGCCCAAAAGAAAGACGAGCATACCACTTTTGCAGACTATTATGATGGAAAGAGAGCATTCCCCAGTTTCCCCAGTGTTTGCTGGAGTTAAATAGCTGTGCAGTCTCCTCTGCAGGCAGACATTTGAGAGCTCATCTGTTTTTTATAAATGATAAAGGCTATAGTTTAATGTTTTCCTGTGTTTTAAAAATGAAATAATAATTAGGCTTTGTGTGTGGTATGGAAGGAAAGCATTGTTAGTACTCTGCCAGATAGTAACCAATAGTATTTATTTCACTTCTGTTTCTCGCTTGGTTTGCCTTATGGTGAACCAAGTCCATGCTTCTATATGTTTTATTACTGTATTTGAGTGTAAGAGCGATGGAGGTTAAGAGCTTTTGGAGATCAGTATCTAGCTTGTAACATTAAATCCAGTAGGATGACTTCTCACTCTGTTAACTAGAATGCATTTAACACAAGCAATTCTAGACCAGAGAAGAAATCTAAAAATACTTAATGAACTCAAAATAGTAGCTATTGTTAACCATAGCAGCATACCATGTGGTTTTGACTACTGCTGTGCTATTGTTTTAATTTAATGAAAACCCAGAATTCTGTCAACTTAAAATATCTAGCTTTGGGAGGGAAGAGGATAAGGTTACAGGCTGTCCAAAGAATTTATGATTTAACATGAAGTAAGGTAGGGCTTGACTTAAAAAGTCAGAGGGGAAGAAACAGAATTCTAGCACAGGTCAGGATTCTTGAAATGAGCTTGTGGGCTGCAGTTGCCAATGGCAGGGAATATAGAATTTAACACAGTCAGAAAAATGTCACTGGGGAAAGTACTCTGAAATTGTTGGGTTTGGGGTTTTTTTTTAACCCTCTATTAATTTATAGTTGGAAAACAGTTGCCTTGAAAAATACTATGTATTCTCAGATATATTTAATGACCATCCTCTTTTCAATCTTAAGTTTTCCCTATTTCTAAGTCTGTATAGAGGGAAAGTAGGCCTCATCTAGGAAAAGCACTGGTCAGTTATTACTTGTTTGCGGTTACCAGATTCAGATGTGTTTGTATAACCAAAAACTTGGGGTAAATTCTGTAACTTGAAAGGTGTCTTAAGGTTTGTCCAGACTTGAAACCTGGTTATATTGTCAGTTCCACAAAGAACAGCAAGCTAATGTTGAAAACTACTTAGTATGTCCGTGTTGTCCCTTCCTCCGTAGGTCTTGTTTGTTTATTGAAGCACTGATTAAAACAGCCCTTGCATACAAAGCAGACATGACAGCTTAGATCTGTCATGAGTTGTCAGATTTGTGCTTGAAACCTTTCTAAAGTCAGTCAGTCCTAGAACACCATATTGAGTCTCCATCATCCTTTTCTGCTATTTATCTGTTTTTGGTAATAACCTTAAGCTATCAATAGTACAAAAAGAACTGGTGAACCTGGGCTATCTGTGAGCAAACTTTCTTCTGTACTGTTTATTTTGGTCTGAGTTCAGAACTGTTGATTCTTTCTACTTGCTGTTTGTCCTCTCCTTTCTTTGGGTCAAAGTCTGATACTGTTACTGCAGGAAATAAACTGAAATAAGGCAGGAGAGGAAATAATCTGTGCTCTTAATGAGGAAGAAAAATACAATACTTTCTGAAGAAGTGAAGCCATAAATCCACCAAAATCTTAAGCTAACCCAGACAATACTTGAGTAGGCAGAGCACGTTACTCATTGAGGAGTATTCTTCCTTATTCTCTTATCACAGGGTTCTGTTTTGTATTCATTTGTCAGTTCATAATGTGAAAGATTTTTATCAGCAAATATGCAACCTTTTATTACAAAGTTCTGCTGTCTGCTGCTAGCCTACTGTAATTGTTTGCCTTTCAGAGGTATCATGACTCTGATACTGGCATGGGTGAAATCCAACAAGTATAAATTGACCACTGACATCTGTGCTGCTGGGTGAAATGGGGGGGGGGGAGCTTCTTTATATTAGTCTTCATTCTCCTTATTTTTATTGATGTGTGGTTTGTTTGAGCTCATTTTCTCCTGTTTTGTGTCCCTTCTTGAGAAGGGTTGGGGTGGATGGGAGAAAATTTAGTCTATAGTGCTTTTTCCTGAACTGTGTAAATGTTGGCTGTGGCTTTTTTTGTTTGTTTTTACCCTGAACTGTGTCAAAAGCCCTGCAGATAGAGGAGAAATTAGTGCATGGCATGATCTATTCTTATTACGGATTTAAGGTGCCATAGAACTGGCAGACTCGCATCACTGTTACTGAGGAAGGGTTCCTGGAAAGTCTTTGAGTGATTGAAAGGATGTACTTGGCTAAACTACTGTGTTCAGAGAAGGAAAGGAAAATTAGAGCGGGTTTATGTGACCCAAATAATTTTTCTATTGAGAGTGGAAAAAGCAGTAAGTCTTGTTTGGTTCAACTGCCAAAGGTTAGTGCCTTCAAAACCCTAGAGGCAGGGCAAAAGTAAGCCCATCTCAGTTAAAGTAGTAGCTAGTGTATAATTCAGTTGGAGCCGAGTTTTTAATTCTGAATTTCTTCTATATTGATTTCTAGTCATTAAATCTCTTGGTACCACAGTGGAAGTGCTGGGCAGTAGATGTATTTGCTTCCTTTGGCAGCCAGGCACTGATTTTAAGCATCTGTAAAGAAATAATAACAACGGATGTAACGTCTTGGAGGCTGGCTTGCTTGATGTATGTAATACAAGCTTTGGTTTTGTCTCTTTGTTATGGGGAGTTGGCTCCCCCTACCCAAACAGCTTTCTGCTACATGCTGCCTAGTTGGTGAGCATCTGGTATTCCTCTTTTTGGTTAAAAGTCCTTAGAATCATTTGGTTGGGGTTTTTTTTTGCCATTTTTCAGTGTTACAGTACAGAAAAAAAATCTTATTAGGCTTCTGCTCCGGCATTTGCTTCTGGAACCCACTCATAATCCTGACTGTTTCATTGCAGAAAAGGTTCTTGTATAATTAGCTAAGTATGTTAATGCTGTTGTATTTCTGCAGCCTTCTTCCTCTGACCATGTGCCTTTCTTCCTGCTCATGCTGATATTTGGCTGTGTCTCATCTCATGGTGAGAGATAGTTATGTGATGTGTGTATGTTTGGTATCTGTTGCTAAGGTTAATTTTCTTCTAGTTCAGCCTCTTGAATCAATTTGCTGCATGAGGATATGAGGGCAACTACTGGTGCAGAAATTGGAGTAGAAAATGCACAAAGCGGGAGGTGAGCTTACGATAGTTACTGGTTTAGCTTAGCCTATCCTCTTGTAAGACTGTACTCTGAGATGTTTCAAAGGAGGTTCTTCTAAGGTGTAGGTATTAGTGTTGGTTCTTAACATTAATGGTTTGGATACCTGATGAACTGTCTTGCGAGTGCAAGTCCTAAACTTACTTGGAAGGCTACTGGTGATGAAGAGAAGGCTGTACTGGGAGTCGCATATCTGTGACATTTGCAGCAGTGTCACCAGCCGTGTTACAATCCTGAAGTAAAAGAACTCTCAATTAAAATGCAGATATTAAAACCTGTATAATAACTAAATTAAAAATATCCATATCTTCCTTTGGATTTTCCCCAAATGCATAGCCTGCTGCAGATGTTGATATGATTCCCTTCACAGCAGTCATTCCGGTTTAATTAAATATCAGCACTTGCTGACAAGAATATTTCTATTCTGTAAGCACATGAGAATACAGAAGAAACCGAAACTTTACATAGCAAAGGTCACGGTAAGGAGTTTGTCGGAAAGTTCCTGAGCGAGTCAAGCTGTTTCTCTGTGCTTTTTGTCACGTTTGCAAATTTCCTTAGGGGATAAGATGAGCCTCTGCTCATCCACTGTGGTGTTGTCATTGTTCACTGCTTAATGTGGAGCTGGAGAATCTTATCTGCTCCCTTCTTCAAGCACGTTTTGGGGATCTGCAAAGGGACTGAAGTGTTTAGGGTGAAACATGAGTAATGTCATCACTGGGAGAGACTAGAGTTGGCAATTATCAGGCACTGACTGGTTTTGTGTCCAGGAGTTCCTGTAGTTGTTCAAGTTCAGGGGTCTCGAAGTGGGTGTTGGTTTTCTTTTCAATATAGGCCAAGAGAAGTTAAACCCATCTGAAAATGTGTAAGCCACCTGAATTTCCAAAATGCCTTCTAAGGTGCATAATGAAATATGCTTAAGTTGTCTTGGCCATTTGCTTTTCTTCTCCACTCCTTCCCTTTCTCAGCCACCAGTTGTAACAAATACTAGGTACAGTTACGAACACCAAGTTTTTCCTATCATGATCTCTGCTGCTATTACCATCTTGTTGCCAGATACCTTGAAAATGGCCAGAAACTCAATTGCTTGATGGCTGTGCTCTCTTGTTGAGACCTGCTTATTTTTATGCGCAGAGTTTTTAGATTTTAGCTTTGGAACATTTGAATCCTGCAAACTGTTGAAGCCAGAGATGGTTCCTCTTCACTGTTTCAGGCATCCTTGCTATGTTGTAGAAAGTTTTCTTTATTATATTTCACTTGATAAAAGCATTAAGGTACTGATTTACTTTGGTAGCACTACCAGTAATAGTTTGTATCAACCTGCAGCAAAACATTTCTTGGCCCTTGAAGAAGAAGGTGACTGGAAATAGCATGGCATTCATTACCAGGGGTCAGTCATGCTTGACCCATCTGACTGCCTTCTGTCAAATGACTAGGTCTTCAGGTGAGGGTAGAGCTGTGGATGTTTGTGGCTTGGTTTGGGTTTTTTTTTCGCTTTGACCTTAGCAAGGCTTTTTACAGTGTCCCACAGCATACTCCTGTTTACAGTCTGAATGGGAGGATGACTGGATAAAGTTAAAACCAGTTGAAAAGTTGTCTCAAAGGGTAGCTGATAGTTCATACTCTGCCTATAGAGTAGTTACAGCTGGAGCTCCTCAAGTTTTTGAATTTCATAGTGATCATTATGCCTTGTCTCTCACCTGCCTTCACCCATTTTTCCAAACCTTGTGGTAAAACAAAGCAATTTCTAGAGCATTTGTTGTTTGAAGTTACTGGTGGAAAAAAAAGAGACTGGAAAAGGAAACTAAATCACAGTTTCTCTGAGATTGATTCACTTCCCTCTTTGCCCAGGCCTGTGAAAAGAAGCTGTCATCCCAGATGCTGCAGGTAGACATCTTCAAAATAAAGGTTTTGGGTAGATTCGTGCTGCAGAAATTGTATGCTGGTATAGTGGGCATAGTGGGTTTAACTGTGGTAGCCCTTCTCATATCTTTGTGAGAACTTTCTTTCTTTGTAATCAAGATGATTCTGGTGAATAGTCAGATGAGTTTATGCTTTTGATTTTTAAGAAATTTGTAGCGTAACAGGCTTCTTCGTTGTGTTTTCCATGCTTTAGGTTTAGTTTGAATCTCAGCTTTTTAGCCTTTCTTCTCCTTCAAGTCTGGGAACTGGATATATTCTTGTAAATGACTGCATTAGTATGCCAGACTTTTCCATCCTCTCAACACTTGAACAGGCATGCATATGCAGAAATGTATGCAGCCTTTCTCTCTTACATGGTTTACATATTCCTGGTTTGGAAATGGGTTTGCTTACATGCGGTGGTGGAATGTATTGATGGTGGGAGTTTCTTGGCAAGTAGTGGCCATTGAAATGTGTAGTTCAGCTCATTTCATACTTTCATCTCTGACAAGTGAAAGGTATTCATGTGATCTTTTGCTGCGTAACCGTAGACAACCAGGAACTTCTGGACTAACGTGGCCGTTTACAGTCAAGTTGCTACTAAGCAGTTCTTGAATATTGTGTCGAACTAGCAGAGAAATTGGTCAATTCTTCCATCTTGCTACTTTCAGACTCACAGGCTCTTCTGCTTTATTCACCCCTTACATACAAGGAAGAGTCTAAAGTGAATCTGTATCAGAAGGACAAAAGATCTGGAAGAAATTTTACTTTTGTACTACACTTAAGGTAAGACTGATCAGATGACAAAAAGCATGAATACCGAGGCTTGCAAAATGGTACTGTTTCTGCATTCTTGGCTTCTTGCGTATTAAACTATTTCTGCAGAGTATTGTGAGTATGTATTAAGTATTAAATACTCCTACATAATTCTCTGGAAATACACTAATGATCAGAGGCATATAAACTATCTGCGGCTGTGTTCCTTATCTAAAATAGTATGTTGTTAGTTGTAACTGATGTTTACTGTGCAAAGCTGTCTTTTGGGTCGCATAGGTGTTCCTACTTCTAAATCTGGTACACTGAGTTGCATGATACGCAATGGCATGTCATACTAAATTAGCAATGCCTTAGTAACTCTTTCTGGTTTACTTTTAGGTCCTGTGCTTAGCCATTTGTAATTTCTCTGTGAATACAATATTATAGTTCTTTAGTACGTTTCTAGTCGATTTCCAAATATCGGGACATAACTGGGAGTCAGCTTGCTGTGCTTTGGAAGGAGTGAAAAATGCATTTCTTTCAGTAAAGCGCATGAACAGTTGCAATCTGTCTGCAAGTTAGAGCACCGATGAAGTGATAGGAGCCATTAGCATCATTTGTCAGAGTGATACCATTGCCTTCAGCTTCCACTCACAGTTTAACTAGATGTCTAATAATATTTGTTGCGTTGTGCCTACACTACTGGACGGATATCACAGTGGAGGGAATATTGCTAGGAGTAGGGGGATAAAACCTGTAGCGGAACAAGTGGAATTCCTGCCAGTGGGACCAGTGTTGGGGATAATGCAGACTGGGGTATAGCTGCAAGGGTAGAACTAAAAAAGTGGTAGAGAGGTATAGAGAGGCACATAACTATCCCTGGCCGAGACAGTAGTTTGTGTAAGAGGGGGAATGCGAGGCCATGGTATCCAGCCATTGAACAGATGGTGGAGACATTCACATGGAGTCACTTAGAAGGACGTAGGAGATGTTTGGGGACTGGAAAGTACAAGTAGCACTTCATGTAGGCAGCTGATTGCCTAATGCTAACTCTTCAATTTTAGGGAGGTGGAAACCTACTGAAATTGGTTGGCACTCACGCTGAATTCAGCATCCATTTGAAGGCTCACATCAGCAGTCTTCTATTCATGTACCGGTTTCTAATTTGTTGTGGCTCTGGTTCTGGTTTTTATATAGTAGGTTTTACTGAATTATCTGTGTAATCCCCAAGCTGAATGTCTACTTTTCTTTTTAAACTGCTAAATTCATCAGATTCTTTTAGTTGTTGTTCTGCAAAAGCCTAAATACTTACGAGTGTTCCTTTGTGTGGCTTGATGTTATTTTTTTTTTATGGATACCTAGTTTTATCCAGGCAGTTCGTTCTGTCTCAGAATACATGCGGGTTAAGGTTTACATGTAGTTAAGTGGCAAGGCTGAGATGTGAGCTTTGGAAGATAGAAATAATTTTAAAGTATCTTGACATGTTGCCTCTCTAAATAGGATGAGAGAGTAGGGTGTTTGCCCGCACACTACAACTGACGTGGGGTTTTTATGCGCCTTTGCGCTGATTTCCCATCACCATTCAGTCCAGCAAGGGCATGTCTTGCAGCCAACAGCTTACAGGAGCACTAACCTTTGATGGAGCTGGAGATGGTGTCTTAATCTGTGTTATCCACATTTGCCTGCAGCTAATGTCTGACCTGATGAGTAGCGTAAAATGAATGTTGAATTATTAACATGCTTGCTTCCTGGAATCCTTTTTGCTGTCAAGTCTATGTAGGCCTATCATTACTGCATTGACTGCCTGTAATGCCCTTAAGCACCCTCTCTGATTTTTTTTGAAACTGGCATGGTCTTCTTGCATGTTAGTTTTAACATTCTTATTGACAAAATTGCCCTTTGAATTTTTGCAGGTGTAGTTCGACACCTATTATGATACTTGCATAATAGCAAAATTAAAACAGTTCTTAGTCAATAGATATATCTGAAATTGCAGCATTGAAATACATGTTGCAAATCAAGAGAGTTTAAACTGTATTGGTTTAAAGTGAGTCAGTGATTTATTGTGAAACTGAAGTTGTAGTGCTAATTGGGCAAAACCTTCGAGTATTTAAGCTTGCAAGTTGCCGAACGGCTGCTTCTTGCAAAGTACTCCTCTGTTTAGATGACAAGTGAAGCAGTTCAGATAGCCTCAATGCAGATACCTGAAAATGATTCCATGTGTCCAGGCAACGATACTGGAGGCTGCTGCCAGAAAAAAAAGGTAATGGAAATTTGCTTCACTCTGCAGTTCCTAGAAATAGTAATTTTTGTAATTAGACTTCAGACTTGTAAAGAAGAGGTTTCTCTAGCCTGCTGGAAAAGTAGGGCATGCAATAAAAGTGCAGGGGGGAGTACTGTGTTCTCTGAAGTAGTCTGACAAGCCATTTGTGATCTGAAACTTAACTTCATATACCACGCTGTGGCTTGAATAGTATGTATCATGTGATTACAGGTGTATTGATCCTGTTAGAGTACAAGAGAATACCATTACATATCATTTAGGACCAGCTGCTTCTGAAGTGTTTGTTTAGAGCTGCCTTAAAAATGCTTTGAGATATGCCTTTCTTGAAATGAACCAAAACCCTGATCAGTTCAACTGGTTTGATTTAGGAAGGTGGTAAATCTGTGTTAGCAATAGGGGAGTAACTTTTGAAGTAAATAGACCTCTTACAAATTTTAAGGTGTCTTTGCATTTCTGCCTGCTGATTCTTTTCATTTACACAAAGACAGTGCTGTTACTGAAGTAACTTTACTAGTAGCTAGAAAAAACTTCTTAACATGGAAGAAACCAAGGGAAAAAAAAAGATGTTCTAAAGCTGTAATTGAGGGATAAAAATAACTATGTGTTTTAACAATTCCTATTTGGAGCCTTCAGTTCCCATGTTATTTAAATTAGTTCTTTTGGAAGATTGTGTGTGTAGGCTGTTAGTTGATATAACAGATGCTTGAATTATCTCTTTCCAAGTTGCGTGTTTTGCAGTAAACATTAAAATGCCTATAGCATAGTAAGTGTTAATATTTGGCAGCTTGTAGTACTGGTGTTCTTATGCTACTGATTTGAATGTGCTGGTGGTTTTATTATGGTGTTGAACGACTTTTTTTTTCTGTTTAATTTAACTCTTTTTTTGTGTATAAGCCTAGCAAGTGGTAATACGGCTAAAATAAAACCACAGATAGATCCAAGTGGCTAAATAGTGCAGCAGAGAATTTGTGCTTCCGATAACTACACATCAGCTGTATCCAAATTTATTTTAATCATCTGTGATGGCTCAGGTTAGTTCATTTGAACCTGAAGGCTTACCCTTAGAAAGTGGGGGAAGAATAAGACTTGCAGAGAGGTGAAGTCCTTCACCTAATCATCAGTGTCATATAAAGAAGTAAAAAAACCATTCTTGCTGTCCCTTATAAATTTGATACAACTTGATTTGTCGTTGTCAAACATATCAACATTAGGGAATTCTTCCTGTATTTTCTGAACCTGGTGCTAACTGAACTACTGTGATTTTTTGACCTTTTTCCCTATTTTTTTCACTCCACTTTGCAGACTTTAAATTCCTTCTGAATTTTGGTTATACTTATGGTCCCGCTTAGGTTTGTGTGTTTTGTACATGTAAAATGGGGGGAAAAGTGATTAGCTGGCATGTGTATTGTAATGGCTTCAGTCCGCTGACAAAATGTGACGCCGTTGTGCCTTTAAGAATACATTTTGGGATATTTGCTATAAATACAGGATTGGTACAGAAAGACATGTTCTAGAAACCATGTTTAAGCTTCCTTCTGTAAGGAGAAGCACAAATACAGGATGTGATATAGAGGATAAAATAAATTGTTACCGGCTTTGATAGTGATAGCAAGACTTGATCTAAAAGCTGACTTGTTCTGAATGAATTGTGAGCCACTAGATGCTAGAATGAGATTCTCTACCCAGATAAAAAAATTAACTTTTGGGAACTCCAACTCTTGGCTGGCTTAAAAATCACTGAACACTGTTTAGAGAAGAGTTATCAAGACGGCCTTCACAGTATCTGTTCTTCATTTGTGTAAGCATTTCCTTTGGAAGACTCAGTGATATTAATCCTTTGAAAACTGTCAGACTTCCTGCTTGTATCCTAGACCTAGAGCATCTTAAAATTTTGGAGAAAATTGCCAGCAGACAATTATGTCAGGTTTCTTACCTCTTTATCCTGTAATGTTTTGAAGTCTGCAGCAGTGGAGTTTCTTTATTATCCAAATGCACATGCTTGCTACAAAACCAGATCCAAAATCTCTTGCTTTCTCTGATTTTCCTAAGAACTGGTTCTGTAGGAGTTTTTTATGGTATTACGTTTAAGATGTTTTCTTGAAAGCCTTAGCTGGAAAAGGCTAAGCCCTTTCTACTGCATAATCAACAGAAAAAGTTTTTTTATTTGGAAGATTACTCCTGAATTTGAGTAATACTATGGCTTGGTAACACCTTGCTCTTCTCCTGGGGAAAGGGTTGACAAACTTTTTAGTACTGCTATAGTAGATAGAGTGGACGAGACACCTCACTTCTGTGAGGGACATGCCATTTAGGCTGAGAGCCCTTCTGAATAGATGTGCTCTGTAATACTGTCAGATGCCAGGTGTGGTGGATTCTTTCTCAGAACATTTAACCAGTGCTCAGGTTGTATTTTCTGATTGTTTTAAGCAGATGGATATTTACAAAATCTAAGTAATGCACCTGGAGTGACTGTTTTTTTTTTTTAACAATGATTTGAAGGCCAGATGTTCACAAAAGCAACAAATGGACAGATGGTTTCAAACTGACTCATTAGCTTTTGCTACCTAGGTATTCTAGCTAGGTGGTAATAAATTTACCTCATAGGGAAACACCGTAGGCATGTGCTCAAAAGAGAGGCACTTCAGTACACTCTAGTATGTCTGAGCTGCAATTCTGAATCTCCATCAAGAAGATGGATGTTTGCATACTCTGCCCTTTGCATTAAGAAAAAAAGAAACACAACCCCATGCAGAGTATGAATGCATCTTCCTCAATCTGTAACTCCTGGATTGCCATGGAGGGTGTAAAGCATGTCTAGACCTTTACTTACAGCTATAATGTAATAATATAATGTAGAGAGTGATATGTATAATAGGAGCTAGTTAGAGACTTTTGTATGCTCTTCTCTAGAAAGTCCTAGCAGTCCCAATAAACATCTTAGTTCAAAGTAGAAGTCCTCTGCTTACAATCCTTCTTCGTGGTTTTAATTGAGATTTTTTTGCAAAAACCCACTAACATAAATGGACCATATTTTAACTCTTGAAGATAGTCTCTTCTTAGGTCAGCTAAAGATCAGATAACTGAAAATCTGAGGTTTCGTACTTGGATATTTTTACTGAAGCATGTTAGATGGCTTTTCTCTTCAGTGTTCCTGAAACTGGATGTTTGAAAAGCTGTCCAGCATAACTGATGGAGAGAAGATTCCTTATTTCTGTGCTTGGTTATGTTAAGCATTACTCTGATCTGTTGCAGGAGAACAGGAGGAGTAAGTGCTTGCCATTGATCTCCCAGTAGGCAAATGTATATTGCATACGTGCATTCTGAATTCTAGTAAGGCTGGCTTTTGGTATTCCTTCATCTTCTGCTCATATAATTCAATAGAGTTTGAGTTACTCATCAGCTTCATGAGCAGTCTCTGCTTCAGGCATTCACTTGTACCAGCATAACTATCTATGTCTGTTGCTCAGCCACATAGCGTGGAAATAGGAATGAGCTGCTGAGAACAAATACTGCTTAAGCCATCACTGTTGCCAAGACATCTGCATAGCCATAATGTGAATTTACTGGTCTAAAGCTTACCTAAAAGAGAATTACAGAGAATTTAGGAATTAGAGGTGCTTTACAAATATATATTAAAGATAATAAATATTTTTAATGTATTTTTAAATATGTATTTTGCAGGAAAAAAGTTTGGAATAGCTTTTGTAAGATGTATCAAAATGCAGCTTTCCAGTGCTGTAGATTAAGCCCACCATTTGTGAGGTGATACTTAAAAGTATAGACCTAATTAGAATGCTAAGCCCATAGTATTATCAAGCGTTTAGACAAGTGTGAAATACTAGTCTAATAGTGTGTTTCTGTTGGAAATTCAGTCTTGAATAGTTCCAATGACTAACTGGCAATAAAAGTTGGAACTGCAGACTTGAAACTGCTGAACCAAATGTTCACTAGAACCCCAAGTACATTAATTTCAAGGCAACATTTAGAGTTTTAAGAAGCTCTGGGTGTTCTGAAATGCAGTGGCAAGATACCATTCCACTTCTTCACAAAGTTACAACTGCTTCAAAAAGGATTAAACACTTCAAAATTACTGAGTTCTTAGTTTAACTTTTGCTTATTCTCCTTTCTTTAACTGTTGTAATAATGAACATCTTAATGCAGCTTCCACATTTGAAGGGGGGAGATGGAATGGGACAGTGTAAAAAGCCCACAGCCACAAAAACACAAACCAAGGCTTTGCTTAGTCTTGGCTGATTCACAATGTTTTTGTATAGAACCAAGTACCACTTAGCAGATGCAGAGAGAATTCATTATCCTTTTATTACAAAGGATGAGCAACTTTCTCTTCAGGGTGAAAGTTGCACATTGTCTTAAGTAATTACACATAAATTAACTCCTGTTTTAGTTCAGGCTTTGTCATATATGTAGACTAAGGGAGAGCTATGGCATGAACTTGAAGTACAGCTGGTGCACTCCCTTGGTGTGTGCTCTAACGTTCCTGGGAAAAAATCAGGTAACCTAATGAATGCCTCTTTGAGGACAGAGATGTTATCTTACGTTTACTGTATGCTAGGAACATGCAATTGGGAGACGCAATATATAGCTAACCTGTGGTAAGCTTACACTAGTGCTCTTTTCCTTCTCCTTCCCAGTATCTTTTACTTCTGCAAAATCTGTTACTGTCTTCGGTGTGAGCCAGTTTACAGTGCTGGGGGATGATAGCAGTGGTGGTATTGTGATGTCATGAGGTCAGTTATGACACATCAGATTATAGCTCTTTCTACTGGTATTCAGGGAGAGGGTTGGCTGCTTATTTACTTCTTTTAAAGCAGCAATGATTTGGTTATCTGTAAAAGGCCAGTCATAGCTGTCTGTGGAGCAGAGTAAAGCCTGTTTTCCTGGTGCTTCTCTGCCCAGAAACTTGCAGAGGACTGGTTGTTGTCATGGGCTTGTGTGTTTTAAGCATTAGGATCCAGCTTGAGGATCATTAGTGTTTTGCTGCTGGGGTGTATGTATTTTATCATTGGGAAGACCAGAATTTGATGGTCTTTTTCATTTGCTTACTTTTGAATATTGGGTTTAGTTCTTCAGCAGTGATTTACTTATGATGGCTTTGGCTGCATAGTCTTTACCTTCCGAGAAAATATTGTAAACATGGTGAAATTCAAATTCTCTGTTAGCCAAGGAATATTTAAGTTGTGCTTAATTAACAACTGTTCTACTGTAGAGTATTAGTTTCTTAATAGCAAAAACTGTAGAAGTTTACTGAACTAAGTCCTACTCAGATATTAAGCGTTTTTACATGCTCGAAAGATCTAAGGAGCCCAAATTAAATACTTAATACGTCTTGTTATTTTGTTAAGCCTCTAATAGGAAGCATTCAGCTTTATTCTGGGGATGTAATTTATGATGAGCAATCTGGGTAACACCTTTTCATTGTGTATGTGAGCATTTTCTGTGCACGAATTATTGGGAGCTGGATTCAATAGCTTGTTATCCCAAAGCTGTATCAAGAATCTAAGTGTCTTTTAATATGGAAAAAAGAATTGTGCTGCTTATTTGGAGAGGCAGGAGTCACTACTGTATAGAAGTAGGTAAGGAGTAGTGTCCCCTCTTCATGCAATGTTCAGTCATGGAGTTCATATCTTAAGATGTTACTGTGTTTTAGGACACTGCATATAGTATTTCTCACTTCTGATAATTAAGGTATAAATAGGAGCATATTCTGGGGTAAGATGCTGTTAAACTACAATATATGTGAAGCTGCCCTACTGTAAGCTGCCTAAGGTTAAAAATCACCTGTGTCTAATGAATGCTCTCACGTCCTCTGCCGAGTAAGAGAATTTGGGAGAGGTCAAGCCTCTTGCTTCTGGGGAGCATAATACTTGTCTTCCGGTCTGCTTTTGTTAGTCAGCCACTTCTGACATTACTCTAGTAGCCTTTAGAACTGAGGCTTTTGAGCACTTCATCCTGCAAGCCCCCTGTACCCTCCTAATTAAGGGGATCTTCCGAAGGTGGAAGGAAGTTCTTGAAGGGAGTTGTGTTCTGTGTTAATGCCCTTATCACTGATGTAGTTAAGAGGGAATTAGGGGCTATTTTGTGCAACTCTGTGAAGCTGTACTGCTTATGTTCTGTTGTGTTGCGGTGTTCTCCCCCCCCCCCGAAGCTCTTGGGTGTGGAAACAACTCTTCTTTTACTGAAACATTTTACCTTTTGGGGGAGGGCTTTTGCCATGTAGTCCAGTACAACGATTTAAGGTACTTGCTGTCTAGTTCTTTCAAAATACTTTTCCAGAGTTCATTAATGATTTAGTGCTAGTTAAGGTGTAATTTCACAATGCTCTGGGCAAATCTGAATCCGCAGCAGCTGCTGGTTCTACCTTTCTGTCATTGGCACTTGACTGCATTTCCTGAGCTGGTTCAGAGAGCTCAAGTGGCAGAAAGTAATTTACCTTTTCTGGCTTAGTTTGATTCCTTGAATCGTCTGTTCTGTTGTGGTGCCTGAGAAGGCAGAATGTTGGGGAAAATACAGGGCTTGAAGTATTACAGGCATAAAACTTACTGAACCTCTACAGTTCTTCAAACAGCAGCACAGTATTCCTCTTGAGGAATTTCTTGTTTATGACGCTTTATGGTAGCTGAAAATGGCAAACCATTATGAAATGTTCTCATAGCTCCTTTCTTCAATCGACAGGCTTAAAGTCAAGGTCTGTAGTATGTCTCCCTTTATCACTCATTCAGTTCATCAAAGTCCTGTAATCAGTTGAAAATCATCAGTGTTACAGTAAGGGCTTGTATTTTCCTTGTGCCCCAGACAAAGCTGGCTGTTACGCAGACTTCTTCCTTGTGACAGTTCCTTCTACCAGTGTACTCTCATGGTAACTTGTGTAAGATGCAACAGTTTATAAGATTAAATACGTAGTCCCTGACCCATGAAGGAATTTGGACATTTGCATCCCGTTCAAAAGAATGGGTAGATGCTTAGGTGGATGCACACATTTAAGTTGTTAGTCATCTGCTGCTTTTGCATTTTAAGCTGAGTTTATGATTAATTTCGTAAGAGCTTCCTCAAAAGAAACAGTGATTCTTATTTCAGAGGAGCCGAGATACTTTTGCAACTGAAGCTTACTGCTTTTATTTTAAACTCTTGTGCATTTTTATCTAAGTAAGCACAATAAAGACCTTACAAATTATACATGCTGCATTTGGTGGGTTTAAGTCTTGTCAAGTACTCAAGGGATACTCTGTCATTGGAGCAGGGGAATAAAATTAAGCAAATAGCATGAGCAGGCATGCAAAAGCTGTTCCTTCTGATACTGAATTGAAGGACTTGAGTACTAGGTGATAGGCTAGATGACTTTTTAAGTGCTGTGCTGGTGAAGGAAATAAGGAAAATGAATCTTTGTGAGTATTAATCTTTAATATGATGTTTAGAGAGTGTACTGGAAGGTCTTTTGACATCCAGGCATGGCTTTAGTTCAAGCACTTCTATTTAGGAAAAAGTTATATTCATGAAAAAATTCATGTACAAATCTGTTGTAAACCATCTGGAGTAGCTAACTACTTTCCTTGTTTCTTTTAGGAAATACCAAAATAAAGCAGATGCTGTGTCCTGTATGGTTATCTCAAGGTTTTGCAAGTCATTCTGTTATGTGCTTCTTGGCAGCAGGAATGTAAACTAATTCTTCGAGCACGGAACTAGAACCTTGACAAAGTTGCAGTTACAGGTAAGAACAAATTCTGTCACTTGGAAATTTATAGGAAAGGTATACTTGCTTTTTCTTTAGCTGTGTTTTAACTTGCAGTTTGTAATTGGCCAAGAATTTAACAGATATTTCAGAGTAGATTGGATAAAAGGATGTGGTCTTCTCTAAAAGCACTTGAGTTTTGCTTAATCCTATTTGGGAGGAATTTGAACTTAAAGTACAGCTTTTCTCTGCTCTGGTACAAAGCTCTTTCCGCAGTTGGAAAGAAATGTAATCTTTCAACACCTAAATATATGCTGACCCAGAGTTTGAACAAGGTATATGTTTACACAAAGGACTGTACGGTGTCAGTCTGTAAAAGTCATGAAGTGTTTTGCCACTGTGCGTTGAGGTCAGCTTGCTGTCTGCAGGTGGCTTTTTCTCCTCAAGGTCTGTATTTCCTTAAATGCACTAATATCAGCAGTACTGCTTAAGTTGCCTTTTTTAACTTTGCTATAGAAAATCTCTAAATTCTTTTTACAAATTCACTGTAGTTTCAACTCCTGAATCACCTTTTCAGGGGTAAAGGTTGATGTCTTCTTCCAGGTCAGTGAAAATGTTTTGGCTGCTTATTTTCTATCATAACTTTATCTGACAGTGATGGAGATAACTCTTGTCCCACTACTCAATCACTGTATTCTAAACTTGGGTGTAGGGCACTACAAACCTATATTTAAAAAAAGAAACAAAACAGAACCAAACCACCACAAATACCTGTCACTGAGATTGCATATTTTGGATGTATATTTCTGAGTAATTCATTTATGTTTTTAAACAGGGAGTATGGTTTTTGAAGACTATACGTGAGATAGCTTTATTGCATATGCTGAATCTGCAGAATTATGATCAAGTTAAGGCCTTTCAGTCTTGATTTCACGTTTTGGTGTCTTTGTCAAGAAAAGTTGCTTGCCTTAGGCTGCACCTTTTTTTTTCCTTAGTGGTAGGACAGGAGTCTGCACTGTTGATATAAAGCAGGCTAATATGTCTTACTCTGAAGTTGGATGATGCATGGGTCAGTGACAGGAGGGTCAGACAGTGCTGAGGAGATGACTTTGTTTTGCTGCTACAATGAAAGAAGGATTCAAATGTGGTTTGGGGTTTTTGGTTGGGCTTTTTGTTGTTGCTTGTGGTTTTGGTGGGCGGTTTTTTTGTTACTGTTTTGATTGAATGCTTGTACTTAATTTGCAGTGATGTAACGGGTTGAGAAAAGGCACAACTCTTGTATTGTCATAGACTAATTTATCTTGGAATGGACCTCTAGCACTCATTTAGCCCAACCCTCTGTCTGACTTCCTCAGATTTTTGTGTAAATCAACAGGTCGCTGCTCAATTATGTAAATAAATGGCTTGGTGTTTTACTGTGGTTCTACAGACCTGCTTATTCCGGACTTTCAGTCTTGTTTAGGAACATATTGGTGATATGAATTGGTGATTCACTGCTACCCCATTCTCACAAAAATGTGTGTGAAGCTTTTAGTAAACAAACATTAAAAAAGGTAGGAAAAGTTGTCTTAAATGCCTAAATCTAGAATAAGGGATGACTCATTTCTAGCGACACACTGCGTCATGCTAATGAGTAAAATAAGCCTTCACTTTTAATACCAGTAGTGTATTGGCTAAACACTGGTTCTCTTTCTTCGAAGTTTTAGATGCTATTTGTTTAAAAATTCTGGCTGGTGGTGATTAGATTAATGATTGAAAAGGAGCAAACTAAATTTAAACTCAGAATAGTTGGTCTCCTGTTGAATTTGAAGAACAAAAAAATAAGATTCAAGTAGTTCTGCATAGAGATAACTATAAACTTTATTATGGAAGAACCACTTTTATACTAGGGCAATGCTTTGTTATATTCAGGTGCCGCATGTGTATCTGGTTTGAATAGCCTAGCGCAGAAGTAAGAGCATGCTTATTGGCTACAGGAAGTACAAATGGAT